TCGCCAGTCCCCTGGCCACTCAGCACTGGCTCCTGCCTGTCGGCTCCCTCCTGGCCCCTCTAGCCCCTCTGGCCCCGCCCCCTCCTCTCCGCTGCTCCTGCCCTGCTCCCCCGCCCAGCCCCTCCCTTGCCCTCGCCAGTCCCCTGGCCACTCAGTGCTCCCTCCCAGCTGGTGCCTCTGCTGCTCTGCCAAGAGGCCAGAGCCCACAGCTGCAGCCCCTCCTTCCCCAACCATTAGCTCAGCAGCCTAGCACTGAGCAGCTCTGGAGTCCATGCTGCTCCAACCTCCCTCCCATCAGGTCAGGAAACAGCCCCCATGTTCCCCAGCTGATATGACTAACCAGATACTTCCAGGAAGACTGCTGGATCAGGCACTGCCCTCAATGGCACTGTGTCCCCAGCAACTTGCTGCAGGCCTTTATTTTATTTTATTTTATTTTATTTTATTTATATCCTGCCTTTTTCCTACAAAGGCTCAGGGCAGCTTACATCTTCTCCTCCCTCTTATCCCCACAACAACAACCCTGTGAGGTAGGTTGGGCTGAGAGTCTGTGACTGGCCCAAAGTCACCCAGTTGGCTCCATGGCTGAGCGGGGACTCGAACCCGGGTTGTCCGAGTCCCATTCCCAGGCTCTTAACCGCTACGCCACACTGGCTCTCTTGGCTCTTAACCACTACACCACACTTCCACATGTGGCAGCCAGGGATTCCTTCTGTCCCGTGGAGTGGCAGTCAGTGCTGAGGCAGGAGTGCTGGTGATGGCCAACCCTGGAGAGCCTCAAAGGCCAGGCAGGTTCACAAAAACAAGCCTGTTCTAGCCCTTTTCTCCTGCCCAGGAGCGGATTGTTGGTCAAATGGACGAGTCTGAATGGCCCATTCCAGACCAAGTCGCCCCAGTTGCTTTGCATCGCAGCAGAGAACGATCCATTGCTGCTTTCCCTCGCTTGCTAGCTTTGCAGCCCACCTGAAAATGAACAGGGGAGTTGTGGGGAGTGAGGAATAGGGGCAGAAGATGCCAGTGTCCCTGCTAATTAAAAGGGCCCATAACTGAGCCCCCATGAGCCATGGCACCACTACTAATATCTTAAGTGTTTTGTCTGCTTATTTAGAAACATTTGAACTTCTTTTCATTGGAGAGAGGAGGAAAATCCCAAAGCGCCCAGGAGAATGGAATAAATATTCAAAAGCAGGAGAGCCACATGGAAGGACTTTACCGAAGCAGAGGGGTCAGAGAAGGGTGTGATCTGCTTTCTCTCATGCCAATGGCTCCCCCTCGCTGGCCAGCTGCATGTGTGTGTTTGGATCCAGAATCGTGTGCATGTCTGTCTCCCGTGATGGTGGAACGCCTCTCTGTCTGTCCTGCCAGCACGGACTGCTGCTTCTTGCTCACGGCCACTGCACCGCGTCCCTTTGCATTATGATGATCCCTGTTTTGTGTTGCAGGTTGCGGAGTATCAAAATGGAGCAGAGGAAGCTGAGTGACCAGGCCAACACATTGGTGGACTTGTCGAAGGTAAGCTGGGCCTTCTGCAGCTCTTGGGAGGGAAGCATTTGGCTCATGGTCCTCCACGTGGCTTGCAGAGCCCTCCTGGATGCCTCCGCTGGGTGGGGCTTATCTTTGAGTCCCACCTCCTGAGGCATCTCTCCCACCTGCCAAACCTTGCCTACCAGAGGAGATGCTGGTAGTCTGTGCTTTTTCACAAGAGGGACACAGAAGAATTACCTTGGCTTTCTCTTTCCCACATGGACGCCAGCTGTTTTGGACTCCAACCCCTGTCAGCCACATGGCTGTTGTAGTCCTAAACATCAAAAGGGTGCTGCATTGTGGGGAATTGGGTCTGGAGCCCATGAGAAACTCCATGTCTCCATGTGGGCTCCAGGGTCACGGAGGTGGTGTGGCTGGTCGGAGAGCCAGCTGGGGCTGAGCAGGAGCTGTCTGTGGTGCTGAGGTCCTCTAGGACACATGCTTTGAGTGGTGAGGGCATTGAGCATTTCAGGGAAGCTGAGAGCCATGCTGCAAGGAGCCCAGGCCCTGGGAAGTCACTTCTGTACCCCCTTGCCTTGAAAGTCCTGTGATGAAACTGTTCAAATGAAACAAGATAGCACTAGAAAACGAGACCCCCAGGTCAGAAAGTGCTCAGCCAGCTACTGGGGAAAAGCAAAGAACAAGTACAGATAACTAGATACTAGATCAACACTGGAAGGAAGCCTTTCAGCTGACGTTGCCCAGAAGTGAAAGAACCATGCTGCACGACACATGAACATGAACTGCCAGAACTATGAAGCAAGGCAAACTGTATACTGAAAATGGAATGGCAGAACTTGGGGAAACTGAACCAAAGTGGACCTTGGAAAGGATAAGCTCAGAGGAAATGGAGTAACAGAGTCAAGATGTGGCACAGATGGGAAAGGGCTACAGTGCAAAACTTGACCAAAGAATATCACGCAGAATTAGTGGAAGACCTCTCCACATGACCATCATTCAAGTCTACTCACCAGCATCAGATGCTGAAGAAGAAATTAAACACTTTTATTAAAATTAAAAACAAGCAAAAACATGCTGATAATCCTAAGTGACTGGAATGCAAAAGGAGGAAGCACGGCAGAATCAAATTTTGTAGAAGAATTTGGCCTGGGGTGAGAAACGAAGCAGAACAACTCACAGAACTATGTGAAGTAAACAGTCTGTTCATCACAAATACCTACTTCAAGCAACTACTCTGAAAATTGCATGCATGAACATCACCAGATGGCCAAAACAGAAATAGACTATATTAGTCTATAGACTATATAACCAAAAACAGGAATTGGAGAACCAGCATTCTCACTGCCAAAACAAGACAAGGAGCAGACTGTAGTAGTAAATTCTTAATATCAAAAAATCACAGAAAAACTGTGAAAAATGCTAACAGAAACATAATGCCAAAATACAACTTCAGTAACATTCTTGAGAAATTTAAAGTCCATGTAAAGAACAGATTTGCATTACTGAACTTGTTGTTGTTAGTTGCGAAGTCTTGTTCGACCCATTGCGGCCACATGGACAACATTCCTCCAGGTCTCCCTGTCCTCCACCATCCCCCGGAGTCCACCTAAGCTCACGCCGACTGCTTCAGTGACTCCATCCAGCCACCTCATCCTCTGCCGTCCCCTTCTTCTTTTGCCATCTGTTGTTCCCAGCATCAGGGTCTTCCCCAGGGAGTCCTTCCTTCTCATTAGATGGCCAAAGTATTTGAGTTTCATCTTCAGGATCTGGCCTTTAAAGAGCACTCAGGGTTGATCTCCTCTAGGACTGACTGGTTTGATCGCCTTGCGGTCCAAGGGACTCACAGGAGTCTCCACCAGCACCACAATTCAGTGGCCTCAATCATTTGGCGCTCGGCCTTCCTTATGGTCCAGCTTTCACAGCCATGCATTTCAACTGGGAAAACCATAGCCTTGACTATACACACTTTTGTTGGCAGGGTGATGTCTCTGCTTTTTAGTATGCTGTCTAGATTAGCCATAGCTTTCCTCCCTAGGAGCAAACGTCTTTTAATTTCTTGGCTGCAGTCCCCATCTGCGGTGATCTTGGAGCCCAGGAAAATAAAATCTGTCACTACCTCCATTTCTTCCCCATTTATTTGCCAGGAAGTTATAGGACCAGATGCCATGATCTTAGTTTTCTTAATTTTCTTAAGCCAACTTTTGCGCTCTCCTCTTTCACCTGCATTAAGAGGCTCTTTAGAGTGGTATCATCTGCATATATGAGGTTGTTGATATTTCTCCCAGCAATCTGAATTCCAACTGGTGATTCATCCAGCCCTGCCTTTCTCATGATGTGCTCTGAATAGAAGTTAAATAGGCAGGGTGACAATCTACAGCCTTGCCAAACACCTTGCTCAGTTTTGAACCAATCAGTGGTTCCTGTCCAGTTCTCACTGCTGCTTCTTGACCCGCATACAGGTTTCTCAAGAGACAAATGAGATGGTCTGGTACTCCCATCTCTTTAAGGACTTGCCACAATATGTTGTGATCCACACAATCAAAGGCTTTAGCATAGTCAATGAAGCAGAAGTAGATGTTTTACTGGAACTCCCTAGCTTTCCCCATGATCCAGCATATGTTGGCAATTTGATCTCTAGTTCCTCTGCCTCTTCGAAATCCTGCCTGTACTTCTGGTAGTTCTCGGTCCGCATACTGCTGGAGTGTAGCTTCTAGGATTTGGAGCATAACTTTGCTAGCACGTGAAATGAGTGCAGTGGTGTGGTAGTTTGAACTTTCTTTGGCATTGCCCTTCTTTGGGATCGGAATGTAAACTGACCTTTTCCAATCCTGTGGCCACTGTTGAGTTTTCCAAGTTTGCTGGCATATTGAGTGTAGCACTTTTATTGCATCTTCTTTTAAGGTTTTGAATAGCTCAGCTGGAACACTGTTGCCTCCACTAGCTTTGTTGTTGCTCAGACTTCCTAAGGCCCATTTGACTTCACATTCCAGGATGTCTGGCTTGAGGTCAGTGACCACCCCATCGTGGTTATCAGGGACGTTAAGCTCTTTCTTGTCTAGTTCTTCTGTGTAATCTCGCCACCTCTTCTTAATCTCTTCTGCCTCTGTTAGGTCCCTGCCATTTTGGTCCTTTTTCATGCCCATCTTTGCATGAAACATTCCCTTCATATCTCCAATTTTCTGGAAGAGATCTCTGGTCCTCCCTATTCTATCATTTTCTTCTCTTTCTTTACACTGTTCATTTAAGAAGGCATTCTGATCTCTTCTAGCTATTCTCTGGAATTCTGCATTCAATTGGGTATATCTTTCTCCTTTGCCTTCTTTCCTCAGCTATTTGTAAATCTTCCTCAGACAGCCATTTTGCTTTCTTGCATTTCTTTTTCTTTGGAATGGTTTTAGTTGCTGCCTCTTGAACAATGTTGTGAACCTCCATCCGTAGTTCTTCAGGCACGCTGTCAAATTCCTTAAATCTGTTTGTCACCTCTACTATATATTCATCAGGGATATGATTTAGGTCATACCTGAGAGGCCTAGTGCCTTTCCCTGCTTTCTTCAACTTAAGCCTAAATTTTGCAACCAGAAGCTCATGATCTGAGCCACAATCAGCTCCTGGTCTAGTTTTTACTGACTGTTTAGAGCTTCTCCATGTTTGGCTGCAGAGCACATAGTCAATCTGATTTCTGTGTTGACCGTCTGGTGATGTCCATGTGCAAAGTCATCTCTTGGGTTGTTGGAAAAGTGTTTGCTATGACCATCTTGACAAAATTCTTCCAGCCTGTGCCCTGATTCATTTTGTACTCCAAGGCCAAATTTGCCTGTTATCCCAGCTATCTTTTGGCTTCCTGCTTTAGCATTCCAATCCCCCATGATGATAAGGACATCATTTTTGGGTGTTAATTCTAGGAGGTGTTGTAGGCCTTCATAGAACTGGTCAACTTCAGCCTCTTCAGCACCAGTGGTTGGGGCATAGACTTGGACTCCTGTGATGCTGAATGGTTTGCCTTGGATTTGAACAGATCATTCTGTCATTTTGGAGATTGTATCCCAGCACTGCTTTTCCTGCTCTTTTATTGACTATGAAGGCTACTCCATTTCTTCGGAGGGATTCTTGCCCGCAGTAGTATTCCTGATGGTCCTCTGAATTAAATTCACCCATTCCTGTCCATTTTAGTTCACTGATTCCTAAGATGTCGATGTCCAGTCTTGTCATCTCTTGATTGACCACATCCAGCTTGCCTTGATTCCTGGATCTTACATTCCAGGTTCCTATGGAGTATAGATCTTTGCAGCATCGGACTTTCCTTTCACCACCAGAGACATCTGCAACTGAGTGTCCTTTCGGCTTTGACCCAGTCGCTTCACTCTTTCTGGCGCTACTAGTACTAGCCCTCCGCTCTTCCCCAGTAGCACATTGGACACCTTCCGACCTGAGGGGCTCATCTTCCGGCGTCGTATCGTTTTGCCCTTTGGTACTGTCCATGGGGTTTTCATGGCAGGGGTACTGGAGTGGGTTGCCATTTCCTTCTCCAGTGGATCACGTTTTGTCAGCGCTCTCTGCTATGACCTGTCCGTCTTGGGTGGCCCTGCACGGCAGAGCTCACAGCTTCACTGAGCTACGCAAGCTCCTTACCCACGACAAGGCAGTGATCCATGAAGGGATTACTGAATTTAACTGACTGCAAACCAGAAGACCAGTGGACTGAAACCAGAGACATTACTAGGGAAGAATGCAAATGGACAATTCTAGTATCACAAAGGAAGAAAAAGCCTAGATGGATGGCAGAGGAAACACTGTTGCCAAGAACAAGTCAGAAGCAAAAGCAAAGGTGACCAAAATAGGGTACAGTCCTGAATACAACTTTTCAGCAACTATCACTTACAGACAAAAGTGGTAATAACCAATGTAAAGAAATAGAAGAGAGCCATGAAAGAGGAACAACAAGAGGCCTCTTCCAGAAAATCCAGGAAATCAAAGGAAATTTGTTTTTTGTAGGAATGCTGAAAGACAAACAAGGGAACTTACTATCCAACCAGGAAAAAATAAAGAAAAAGTGGGAACAATATACCGAAAGTGGAGTATACGGGATTCCACTTGTATCCAAGCTGTAGAGGCAGAATCAGTCCAAATCCTAACAAGAATATGCCAGCAAATATGGAAATGAAACAATGGCCCACAAACTGGAAATGTTCTATACACATTCCAATCCCCAAGAAAGGAGGTGCAAGAGAGGGCAATGACCACAGGACCACTGCACTGACTCCCCACACAAGCAAAGCGATGCTCAGAGGGTTGCAACAAGAATAGTATCCTGTATGGCATGAGGGATGCCAGATGTTCAGGCTGGATTCTGATGAGAAAGAGGCACTGGAAATCATATTGCAAATATAAGCTAGTTACTGTAGTGCACCAGAGAATTTCAGAAGACCAGTTTGTGCTTTGTAAACTACAGCAAAGCCTTTGATTGGGTAGGTCACAAGAAACTGTGGATGACTCTGAAGGAAATAGGGTATCTTAATGCCTGTGGTGGACAAAAAGCTACCATGATACCATGAGGACAGAATATGGAAAAACAGGTTGGTTTCCCCTAGGCAAAAGCATCAGATAAGGATGTATTTTATCTCCCTATCTAATCAACCTGTGCCCAGAACCTATTTTAAGGAAAGCTTGATTAGGTTCAGAGGAAGGAGTAAAAATTGGTGAAAGACACATTAATAGCTTAACAAATGCAGATGATACCATCTTACTGTCAGAAACCAGCAAGGAATTGAAAAGTCTTCTGATGAAAGTGAAAAAAGAAAGTGCAAAAGCAGGACTGCAGCTGAATATTGCAAAAACAAAATCACAACACAGAAGAATTACAGCACTTTTGACATCAGTGAAGAAAATAAAGTGAAATTTTGTATACCTCGGCTCAGCCATCAATTCAAAGGGAGACCGCAGCCAAGGAATTCAGAGCAGACTGAGACTTGGAAGGGCAGCAATGATGGAACTAGAAAAGGCCATCAAGTGCAGGGGCATTTCACTGGAGACCAAGGCCAGGGTGATTCACGCCACTGTGCTTCTCTGCTGCTGCGCAGGACAATGAAGAAAGGTGACAGGAGGAGACTGATGCATTCCAAAGACAGTGCTGGAGGAGAACTCCGCAAATACCCCGGGCTGACGGAAAGGCAAACAAGCGGGTCCTAGTCCAGATCAAGCCGGAGCTTTCCCTAGAAGCAGCTGTGACAAAACGGGGGCTGTCCTACTTTGGACTCCTCATGAGAAGGAGAGACTCCCCGGAGGAGACCATCATGCCAGGGGAAGGGGAAGGCGCAAGAAGAAGAGGAAGACCAAATGAGAGAGGGATGGCTTCCTTCAAGGAAGCCACAGCCTTGCATTTACAAGGGCTGAGCAGGGCTGTCAAGGAGAGGGCATGTTGGAGGCTCAGTGAGGTCTCCACAGCTTGAAGACAACTTAATGGCACATTGCGGCAACATCCACCTTACTGAATGCCGACCCCACTTGGTTCAGCACCATGAATGGCTCCGCCCGAAGTGCTCACACACACCGCCCCCGCCAGTAATCCTGGACCACCAACCTCCACTGGTCACACGGGATTGGGTTGTGGGGGCACTTTCTTGAATTAGTTGATCCCTTCCATTTCCATCTCTTTTGAGGTGGTTTTGAAGCAAGACTGTCCTGTGATGACAGTATTCATGGAACTGGGCAAAGAACTTACTGTAAAATAAAATAAAGCATTACAGTTTTCTTGCATGGAACTTGAGTAAATTGATTGCAATAGCTACCTATGTACCCGATATAGTTTAGGTATAGCAAAATATGCTATTATTTCTTAGGGACTTCCAACAGAGTCAGCTCAGGGATCTGTATATTTTATCTATGCATAAATTAAGAACACAAGACCACAAGAAAAGCCCGGCCAGATTTAGCCATGCACTAGGCCAGCACTCTGTTGACAAGCCAGCTGCCCACAGGATCCCTCCAGCAGGACGGGTAGAAGACCTCCTCCTGCCCAAACTGCTCTGTAACTGCCCTTCACCCCACCCGGTGATGGAAGGTAGCACGTGGCTAGCAAGCTGGCGACATGCAGGTACGTGAGGGGGCGTCACACGGAGGTGGGCAGAGACCTGCTCTCTCCTGCAGAGGAAGGCAGGACGGGCTCCAACGGAGCCAAGCTCAGGGAACCCAGGTTCCCTTTGGATGCCAGGAAGCACTTCCTGGCAGTCAGGACCCCGAGGGTGAGGAGTGGGCTCCTACGGGAGGTGGTTGAGGCCCCATCGGTGTGGGTGCTCAAGGACAGGGTGGACGTGCACATGGTGGGCGTGTCGTGAGCGGAGCCGGCTGGTGCCGGAGGTCAGACTAGATGGCCTGGAGGCCCCTTCTGACTCGCTCTGTTTCTGTGTTTCAAGTCTCGCAGCCACAGAGAGCTTCTTCCTCCATTAATCTGTCTCATCCGTTTTCAGAGCCCTCCAAATCTGTGGCCATCATTGCTTCCTTTGGCAACGAATGCCACAGTCTGACCATGTCTGGTGGCTTCATGGAGTGACCTCTTCGGGTACTAGTACTGGTGCAACAAAAACTCTGCACAGTGTTCTAAGTGTAGCTGCACCAAAGATTTGCACAGGGCATGTTAAGATCTTGGCAGTTTTATTTTCTGTCCCTTTCTTAATCATGCCTAACATGGATTTATCGTGGGCTTTTCATGAAGCTGTCCACCCTGCCCCCCCCAGATCCTTTTCTTGGTCACTACTAGCTCAGATCCCATCAGTCTGTACCTGAAGTTGGGATTTTTGCCCCAATATGCCTGTCTTCAGACATGCTCACACTGAGCTGCACTTGCCATTTGCATGCCCGTTCTCCCTTCTTGGAGAGATCCCTTTGTAGCTCCACACAGACCCTTATGGTTTTAATTGTCCTAAAAAGTTTGGTGTCTTCAGCAAATTTGGCCACTGTTTTTTAACCAGTTAGTGATCCTACGAGGACCCCCCCCCCCCCACACACACACCTTTTATTCCATGACTGCCAAGTTTACTTGGGAGCCTTTGATGAGGGACTCTACAAGGCCAAGTAAACATCGGTTACCAGATCAGCCAATCCACTTCCTTACTGACACCCTCAAAATACTCAGATAGATTAGTGAGACAGGACTTCCCATTTGGAGGTCATATTGATTCTTTTTCAGCAGAGTTTGTCCCACTATGTACTTACTGATTTTATTTTTAATGATTCTATCAAGCGATTTATGCAGAACAGACATTAAGTCAGCTGGCTTGTAATTTCCCTCCTGGGTCCCTTTTAAAACATTGGTCATTCCCAGTCTTTTGGTACAGAGGCTGATCTTAGAGACACATTGCGTATATTTGTAAGAAGGCCAGGAATTTCATATTTGAGCTCTTTAAAAACTCTCAGGTGGATGTCTTAACATTCAGTTTGCAGTGAGGTGCAGTATGTCGTCTCGCATCACTGCTTTTCTGCAAACTCTGTGCTCTTCCACAGCAGCCATGGGGAAATCCCAGCTCTGCTCCCTCTGACCCTGGGGAGCAAAGCCCCCCGGATCTGCCAGTGAAGCAGAAACCGCCCTCCCCCTCCCCCCGGAGGGGCAGGCAGGCTGTTTGCGGTTCTTCTCTACTTCTTGCTTCTTAGGGGGACGGACAGCCTTTGGCCCAACTTCCTGCAACCCTTGGACTAATTTAAAAAGCTCTCTCCATGGGGGGCTTTTTCAAAACTGCAAAGAGGGAGAGCCACTGCTGTGTAGTGGACTGGGGACCTGGGGTCAAGTGGTGGACTGGGGATGCCACTCCATCAGGAAGCTGACTGCGTAACTTTGGACCAGTCACCCACTCTCAGCCCACCTCACAGGGTTACTGTTCTGAGGATAAAATGGAGTGGATGAGATCTGTAATCACCTGGGGTTCTTTGCAAGAAGCAAAAGGCAGGTTGCAGAAATGCAGTAGAGCAGCAGCAATATTCCTTCCCTGGAAGCCCACTGTGCGGGGAATAGGAGGGAAGGGGAAGGATGGCATGAGCGAGAGCGAGAGCAGCGGGAGAGCGCGCGCCCGTCGGGGCTCTGCCCTGCCGACTCTGGCAGGGAACCCGCTCCTGGCTGCGGGCCGACTGCGCGCGTCTCGATGGGGAGCGGAGCGGGGCGGCTGCCCCTGCCCTAACCTGCCGCTTTCCCCTCGCCCCGCCAGGCGCAGAGCGTCATGTGCGACATGGTGTCGGAGCTGCAGGAGCGCAACGAGGACCTGGAGAAGCGCATCAGCGCCCTGGAGGGCAAGATCGACCTGCTCGGCCTCACGCTCCACGCCCTGCCCGGCCTCGTCAGCCAAGCCATCCGGCAGCGGCAGCGGCAGCGGCAGCAGCAGCAGCAGCAGCAGCGCGCCGCCCGGCCCGGCGGCGCCTCCAGCGGCTCCGAGTGCTCTTCGCGGACTCCCACGCGGCGGCGGCGGGCCCAGGCCCCGTCCACCGCGCCCCACACCTCCTCGGACAGCGGGTGACCCGCCGCGGGCGCGCGACTTCGGCGGCCATCGTGTGGCCGGTATCTGCGCCTCCTGCGCTTTTGTCTGGAGAGCCTCGGAGAGAGAAGGGGGGCGAATCCGTCGGGGGTGGAGCGGGGGGAGCCTTACAAAATCCCGCGGGGTCGTGCGGACGAAGGAGAGCGGGGTCGGCTCTGCGCGCGCGCGCGAGCGAGCGACGCGGCTGCAGCCTCGTTCTTTGCGGGTACCCCATCTCGGACGGCGGGCGAGGCGGAAGCGGGGCCCCGGCGCAACGCTTCCCGTAGCCGCTCCCCGGGGGGCGCCCTCCATTGTATACGCCAACCAGCGCGGGGCATGCCGGCAAATCAGCAAGGAGGTTTCGGGCCTTCTGCAAAGCAGGCGGGTCATAGTTACCCCTTCGAAAGCCAGCCGGCCGGCCCAGAATATTTTATTTCATCATAGGGAACACTGCGTTGTTTGGAGCGTCTGTTCCCCTGCGTGGCCACCGTCAAGATCGCGGCTCAGCCCAGGGGGTGGGAGGGACGACTATGACGACGGGAGACGGCCGTTAGCATCCCTGCTAATTAAAACGAACAAACAAAAAACCTTTTAAACCACTTGCATTGAAAGACATTTCCAGTCTAGCAAGAGTGGTGGAAATTTGTTCAGTTTGCATTTTAATCTGGATTTCCTTGATTTTGTACCTCAGAAATGTGAACTGAAGCTCAGTTCTCCTTCAGAATTTGCACTTCTCTGATGGAAAATCCAACCAAATGTGTACATTAGGCAGTAGACACCAACATGCATGTTATAATAGGTAACATGCCCAAAATGCTTAAGAAATGTCATAGACACCTTTACAAAAATCCTCAATGTTTGGCATAAACTGAATTTAAAATGAGAAACATCTCAGTGTTCGAAGTGAGCCAGATTTAAGATTGGAAAAAGGTGAACCTGAGAGAAGTGAAAACTGACATACTTCTTTCCCAGAAGGGGCTTGTTCAGTAAGCAAGTGGCCTTTTTATCTTTCTTTCAAAAGCCATAGAGGTGTTCGTATTCCATTTTTTTAAAGTAACCCTATAAAAACCCCAAACTTCAAGAGCAGTTGCAAATTTCTTGTGTGGGTGGGGTGAGGGAGCGTGCCGTCCTGCCAAGCGCAGGCTAATCCGTGTGCGTAGCCCGGCTTGTTTCTTCTCAGGACGCCTGCTGCATCCTGAGCGATTGGCCTTTGACTTCCTTCTGGGAAGGAGGAACAGGGTTTGAAGTACATGTTTTGTTTGTCCTGTGGGAACTCGACACAGAAGCAAAGAGTTGGAATAGATGTCTTTGGAGACTATCTAGACCAGCGGCTCCCAAACCGCGTTCCGTGGAACCCTAGGGTTCCGCAAGCGCCTCATGCAGGTTCTGTGAAAAATCTCAAAAAGCAAATTTAAAACAGATTTTAAAATGAAACCACACTTGGCCAACTATTCAGTCATCAGTTGGAGTCCAAGCAGCAACTGAGGAAACACATCACATCATTTGGTTCCTAGGACTCTATTGTGTCATGTTGGAAATAATTGGAAGAATTCATTTGGGATATGACCGTATAATCACTTTATCCATTCATTGTATTTAAAATGCTTTCTCTTATTTCCAAATCTACTACGTTATGCAAAGCACTCAAGCAATAGGAGCAGATGGAAGAGGGAAGAACGTTGTGGGTTCACAATACTTAGTGAAAAACGAGGATAGAGTTAAGGTTCTGTGGGGGAAAATGTCTTGAGAAAGGTTCCATGGCTGGAAAAGTTCGGGAACCACTGATCTGGACCATTCCCAACTCAGTGCAGGAGTCCTAAAACTAAAGTGTCCCCATCTGCCTGCCTTATGGAAGCTTACCCTGTTTGAAACAATTGTCCAGCTGTTCTTGCCTTCCAGATGTTCCCCCTAATGTTTAGCCAACATCTGTCCATCTGCAACTTAACCTGGCGAGCCTTAGTCCTGCTCTTTGGGGCAGCAGAGGCTGCCACTGGGACAGTCCTTCAAGTCTGAAGAGGGCCTTCCCCTTTCCCAGGCTGCAGGCTAAATGGAGCTGAGCCCTTTGACCGTTCCTCTGAGACTGCTTTTCCATAAGGCTACCTGTCTTCATAGCCTTCCTCCAGACTGCTCTGGTTTGCCTGCAGCCTTCTTAAGTGCAGTGACCAGGAATGGATACAGGCAAGGCTACACAAAAGCAGAATAAGGTGGAACTACTACTTCCAGAGAATTACGTTGGCCTTCTCTGCAGCCACACTGGCTCATGCCCACCATGGGAATACATGCAGTCTCAGGATCCTTTTCTCATGCTGAGTCAGAACTCTCCAGCCCCACACCCATGCATTTTCTTTTGCTGAAATCCAGAACTTTGAGTTTCATTTTGTTAGACTATTTTGTCAGAGAGAATGTCCACAGAATGTCCTGGTCAAGATAAATTAACTACCCGGGTTTCTTCTCTCCGTCACAGCCAGCAGGATCCTGGGTTTCTGTGACGTGGATGGAGATTACCTGGAAGGAGACTTTGCAATCCTCAGGACCACAGCACTCCCCACATTTCAAAAGCAAGTTTCATCTTGTAGTGTGGGCAAGATGGAGAAAATTAGTTTTTGCAGGGGGGATTCCCAGGCCAGGGCAGACATGCAGAATGGCAAGCATTGGTGTGCCTGGGTATCATTCCAAAGGCAAAAAATTCATGGCATTTTATTTTTCTACCTGGCCACAGTTCTCCTTTCTTCTTCTGTTTCCTTTCACTCCCCTCCCCCATAACTTGCCTCAATCTCCACCTCTTCTGAGTTGGCTTTCCAGTCTTGCTTATTTCTGAAAATGCATTTCCTTTCCCTTCCATCCATCCATCCTTTCTTCCTTTGGAATGAAATTCTGGTTGCAATGAATGAAAAAGCAAGCATAGAAACATAGAAACAGAGTGAGTTAGAAGGGGCTTCCCGGACCACCATGGGCATGTCCAGCCTATCTCTGAACCACCTTCACCGATGGGGCCTCCACCACCTCCCATGGAAGCCCATTCCACACCCTCGGGGTCCTAACTGTCAGGAAGTGCTTCCTGGCATCCAAAATTAACCTGGGTTCCCTGAGCTTGGCTCTGTTGGAGCACATCCTGCCCTCCTCTGCAGGGGAGAACAGGTCTCTACCCATCTCCATGTGACACCACCTCACATACCTGTGTGTCGCCAACAGACCCCCTCTGAGTCTCCTCTTCTCCAGGCTGAGGAGACCCAGTTCCTTCAGTCTCACCTCATACCCCATCCCTGCAAACCGGCCACCAACCTTGTGGCCCTACTGACTCTAACCTGGCTATATCCTTCCTGTAATGAGGGGCCCAGAACTGAGCACAATACTCCAGTTGTGGGCGCACCAGAGTCGTGTAGAGTGGTAGTAATACCCCTCTCGATCTAGAAGCCACACTTCTGGCTATGCAACCAAGGGTGGCGTTTGCCCTCTTGGCCACCGCATCACACTGCTGACTCAGGTTAAGCCTGCAGTCAACCAGCACCCCGAGGTCCCTTTCACAAGTGCTGCTCTCCAGCCACTTGTCACCTAATCTGTACTTATGACACCTATTCCTATGCACCAAGTGCAAGACCTTGCACTTACCACAGTGAACGCCATCCTGTTGTCTCCTGCCCACTTCCATAGTCTGTCCAGATCCTTTGGATCTGGAGTACCTGCTCCTCAGTCATGGCCACTGCTCCAGTTTTAGTATCGTCTGCGAATTTGATCAGCAGACAGTTCACCCCTTCTTCCTTGTCATTTATGAAAAGATTAAACAGGATCGGCCCTAGGACAGAGCTCTGGGGGACCCCGCTTGTCCCTGGCCGCCATCCCAATGATCCACTCTGCTTTCGGTCAGTCAACCATGCCCTAATCCACCAGACAGTGCTTTGGTGTATCCCAAAACTCCTCAGTTGCTCCACCAGGATATCATGGGGCACTTTGTCAAAGGCCCTGCTGAAATCCAGGTATACCACATCCACTGCATCCCCTCCATCCAGCCACCTCGAAACCTTGTCATAGAATCCCACAGGGTTTGTCTGGCAGGACCTGTTTTTGCAGAAGCCGTGTTGTGTGGCTGTCAGCCTCCCTTCCCTATCCAGTATCACTAGATCTCTGTCTATTATGAGCCTTTCCATTGCTTTTCCTACAATGGACATAAGGCTAAGGCTATTCTCTCAAGCACTCTCCTCTTTGATAAGAATTAGAAAAATAATGGTGATCCATTGAAGTTAAGCCTTTCTTTGCTTTTACATTTGCTTTGATTTCAAATCAGCATAGGGTTTTAAATTCATTCCAAATTGCCTACACAAAATCCTCCTAGATCAGACCAAGATGGAGCATCAAACCCAATCACCTGTTCCCAGTGGTGGACAGCCAGATGCATGCAGGAAAGAGAAAGGGGTGCTGTCAACAACTGCCCCTCTTGTCTGCTTGTAGGCAGCTCATGACCAGGGGCAGAGCAGAAATGCAAGTTGCAGTCGGGAGACTCTTTGAAAACATCAGAAAAGCCATGCTAGATTGGACCCAAGGCCTCTCTGGTCCTGCCTTCTGCTGGCTCTATAGCCAGCCAGACCCAGTAGTGGAAAATCTACAGGCAGGGCATGAGGCCAAAGTACCCTCTTGCCCATGTTCCCCAAGATGCTGCTGCTGCAGAGGGCAGCATTTAGGGTTTGAGACTAGTAGCCACTCACAGCCACCGTCCCCTCCACCGTGAATTTGGCCAGCCCTGCACAAAGCTGCTCCAACCAGCACCCCCCTCTCCCACCTTGGAGCGGCAAGGCCAGCGGTATGGTCAGTGGCTGTCTGCCCCATCACTTCCCTTGCCTGGAGTTCGCCTCCTCCCCTTTCAAGATCACCAAAAGGGCCCTGAGGGATCCAGCAGTGGCCTGGCTAGTCCAGCATCCCATCCCCATGAGGATCAACCAGTGACCACAGAGGGGAACTCGCCAGCAGGCCCGATCTAACCACAGCACTTTCCTGCCTGTTCCAAGCAA